GAGCGATCTTTAGGCTACACACGAAGAGCCACTATATATATATATATATATATATATATATCTCACTGTCACTGTACTGTAAATTGCCTTGGAGCAGGGGAGAAGGAGATGCTGGAGGAGAAGCTCCGTTCCGCGGAAGACAAAGCCAAAACAGCGGAAGCTGCACGCCAACAATTGCAGGGGGAAGCCCATCTTAGTGCATCTGCCCTTAGACAGCGAATTTTGGAGCTGGAAGAAGATAAGAAGAGGCAGGAGGCAGAGGCAGAGGAAAACGAAGCTCTGATACTCCAGCTGCAAGGGAGACTAGAGGAAAAGGTTCAGCAAGTGGGCACGCACAAATGCTGGTTCGCTTGTTCTTGTCAGTGCCAGACGTACCAGACTGGAGTTTTAGGAGACTTCGCTTGTACAGTGGACAGTGTGTGCTGGCTGAATTGAGACCAGTGCATTCTTCGGTCCTGTTGCCCAATAGGTCACAATCCTGGAGGTTAAGAACAAACAGCAAGCTCGCCTGCTCCATCAGGTTCGTGGTGTGCGGAACTCTTTGATGCAAGTCCTCCAAGAATCGAAGGAAACTGAGACAGTCCAAGGCGTTCCTACCACTTCTGTAGCGGCGTCAGTTCGAGAGCCTGAAATAATGAAGTTGAAAGCAGGGATGAAAGCTGCCTTGGCGCATATAAAGGACTTGGAGTGTTTCATAGATGAGATGTACGTGACTTTGACCAGGTGTACCGCCAGCGCCAGTTTTATTACGTTGTCAATCAGTTACATGTGCCCCTAATGTCTTCTTACCTGTCCTGTGGATTCAGGAGAAAAGAACAGCGGCGAGGAGTCCATCCACGCTACGAGATATCGGCAGCCTCCGGTGACTCCTCTGCTCGTTCACTACACAGCAGGCAAATTGACGAGCCATGCAGAAGGCCTTTGAGGGCGCTGCCAACCCTTGGAGACGAGCTGGAAAAGTTAGGTGGTGCTTCCGAAATTGGCCACGGCCGGGAGGTGCCTGGTTCTGCGATCAAAAAGGGGGTCGGCAGGGAGACAGAAAGCTCTCCATCTGGCGAGCCTGATACCCCTCCTCATTGTGAGGAATCCAGGGTTGCTGGCGAGGAAGCAAGCGATGAGGCTGGAAGCCCCACCAGTGCCGCGAATTTCGAAGCACCTCTATCTAAACAGCCTAGCATTAGGGAGCAGATTGTGACGGTGGAGAAGCAAAAGGCTGTCGCCAGCAAAGTTTGTGGTGCCGATCCTTCTCGCGTGCGACGCCCTCGCACAGCTCGTGCCGGAACAACTGTAAGCAGGGCGTATTGCCGTAGACAAAGTAACGGCCCTCAGCCGCGTGTTTTACCTAACTTCAAGCGTGCGTGGGACTTCACTTTCTCCTGCGGAATGGTTCAGGGGGATGCAGCATCTTTTGCATCCTTGCGCTCTGAACCGTCGACAATCGATGCTGTTTCCAAAGAGCCTACCTCTTCTGCGAGCCTTCCAGAAGTCGAAGACATTTTTGGTACAGCTACCCATTTCCTGTGCTTAAACTGCTCATGCGTTGTAGTAAATGAAGGCATGAAAGCGGCGAGCAGCCCCAATGGGGATTGACAGCTTGAGGATCCTAGCGTTTCTTCAGGAATGCTCCGTTTAGTTATTCTGTACATGCTTTCAGATCCACTTGACCTGCTGAAGTCTGAGGACGCAACCGAGGCAGATGCCCAAGAAAGGTGGGTAAAGAGAGTTTCGCATCAACAAGTGACGTTTTCGTTGTTGGGTGTCCCACTTGGTAGAGATAAAGAGAGTAAATAGAGAGCAGGACGCCAATTTTTGCATGTTGTGACTTCGCAGCCTTGCAGTGAATGACCGCCTTTCGCGCACTTCGCATGCAGCACAGAGAGTCCTTTCTGCTGATCGGACAAAACCGATTAGCTCAAAGAGTCGGCCGTATCTGGTCCACCGGTCGGCTGCAGATGCAGCGAGGAGTTCAAATGCCTCTGAGCTACCACCAAGCAGGGTGTCTCCGAAGATGTCTGATGGACATTCATTCAGCTCTGGTGGATTCGAGATGCCAGATGGGGGAAGGAGATGCCGGTCGCGGGCAACAGAAAGCGATGTTTCTAATGAGCATCAAGATGGCGTGATTGAGCCGTCGATGAGCGTGCCATCACAAGAGGCAGGTTCTGCCCTTGGTGGCCCTCGAATTAGCTCTTTTCGTGACAAGAGTGATTCGTTAGCTTCCTTTGCTTCGGAAGGGAAGTTTTTAATGCTAGCCGCTCCTAGTGAAGCGAAGAAGTCTCCCACTGCATCAGCCGGCCGGAGGGTTGAAGATCGATTACACAGTTCAAAGACAGATTTGGCTCCGAGAGGTCTGGGCCCAAGCACATTGAGTGGCATGTTCAGCATGCTTGGAGCCTGCGCTGCAGTAACAGGAAACGCACAACGTCGCCCAGCAGGTTCAACGGAAGCTGAAAATGGTGCCATCAAGAATACCCGCAGTGCCGGAGGGGAAGAGAGTTCCAAGCCTAAGCATAAGCAGCCCAGCAGGTTGTCTGCTGCAGCAACTGCTGCGATTTCGACAAAGGATGTGAGCGAATTTCGGTCTCTTCGGCGCGTCAGTCATGTTGAACCGCCTGAAGAGTCATCAGCTGACCGTTTTACCGCAAGGACCTCAGGATCTACAGAGAAGTCAGACCTGGCTGCTCTTAGGGGTGATCCAGCATCAGACGAGTCGTTGCTAACAGGGAGAGATCAGTGGTCGAAGACAAGCCCGTCGCCGAAGGCAGGGCATGCAAGAGCGCGGCGCACGGTCTCCTTGGGAATAACGGAGATGCCAGATGATATTAAAGGACGTGATGCCCTGGAGCAGCCAAAGGCGCAGCTCTCAGTGGCAGCCGTAGTCTCCAGTGAAGGAGGAAAAGAACACTCCGGAGGGAAGGGCCATCACCTTCACGATTCCGAGGTTGCACGGTCCCCTCGGGCAAGTAGTTCCTTCCCGAAGGGACCTCCTGGTACTGGCATTGAAAAGAAACTTCCGTCGGAGTCAGGGAGTCCCACGTCATCACTTCGAAAGAGAGCTGGAGTCTTAGCAGCTTCAGAAACCTGCAGAAGCATAGGGGATGCAAATACCCAACGAACACCACGCAGCCGCAGCAGTAGCTCCGAGCCACCTTCCGGCAAAGCGTCATCTTCTCATGGAGTGCCTACCAACCAGCAGACACGTGAACCCAAAACACCGCATGAAACCAGGAATACAGAGGCTCAGGGGCAACAGCAAAGGTCGCACAGCGGTTCGATGGCATATCAAGGCACCGAATGTGAAGGCCAGCTTCAGACCTTGAGGCGGCAAGTACCATCAGTGGAAGATCAGGCATCTCAACAAGACGGTTTAGAGCAATGCGATAGAGTGGGATTACGAACAGACGGCATAAGCGAGGGACGGTCAGGCGACAAGCTTCGGCCTAACCAGCTATTTCCGCACGACATGAAGGATGAATGCGCAAAGCGACAAGATGAGCAAGCGGCTTCTGCAGCCGCTCTGCTAGCTGCTGCTGCGGGAGTGGTAGACGCGTCTCTCCAGCAGCACCAGCAGATGATACAGCGCCAGCAGGAACACCACGAAGACTTGCAGAGGGCGCAGCAACGACGCATTGACATGCTTCAGGAGCAACTTGAACATCTACAGAAGGCAAAGGATGAGCAGCGAGAATCTGGAGAGCAGGAGCAGAAAAAGTTAATTCACGCACTTCAGTCAAAACTGGAGGAGTTGCAGAAGCGGCAGGAGCAGAGAGAACAAGATTTCCAAGATGCCCAACGCAAGCTTCAGGAAGAATTAGAGGTGCAGTTGAAACAAAAGCTGGAAGAGCTGAGGTGCTCACCGCGGAGGACAAACATAGAGGCAGGCACTTCATGTTCTGTAGGCCAGAATGACATTCACGCTTCATACTCGCGCAGGCATGACACAGATATTCGAAATAACCACGGTCTAAGGGCAGGCTATCAGCATGCGGCCTCTGGCGGAACCAACTCATTCGAAAATAATACTGGTGAGCAGGCCTTGCACCCACATCCGATGCAAGAGAACGGCGGGAAGCGCCTTCCTGATGTGCATCCGTTTACAGCAGTATCTGAGAATTTTGCAGGCGTAAATGCGAAACGTCTTAATCAGTTTCCGTCGAGCGGGAAAATGGAGGACGGCACTTTAAATACCATGCCTTGGCATCGTGGAGGGCAGGAGCCACAGGGATGTGCTGGACGAATGGGTCTTCATAATGCAGCTACAGATTCTCAGGGGCAACCCACGACGGACGCTTCAGGCGGATATATGTGCGGGAATAATGATCGATGCAGTGACTCTGATGATGCTTCAAGTTGTGCAAGCAGTAGTCTCATGGGGAGCCAGTGCGGGGTGCCGACCAATAGCTGTTCATTTGAGGATGCTCCTACAGCCACCAGCAGCTCGTTCATCAGCCAGTCTACGACACCTGCAGTGTGCTCATCCGCTCCTTCTCAGCGTGGGAATTACCTTGCCAGCGAAGGGCAATCCGATCGACAAATGTACGCTGCTGGAGGCGATCGACTGGTATCGCAGTCCATAGGTACTCACCGGCGGGAAAACGTTCTGCGCCGGAATAATATCCCGAATTCTCAGTCGTCAGAGCCGATTTCAGCTACCCCTCAGTACGTACCAATTAATGCTGGGCAGGCTGATCCGCTTCTTCCTCCGCGTGTAGTACACCGCATTAGTAGCTCCACCGATTCTTTGTGGAGCCCCAAAGCATCCAAGAATCACGCGGCTGGCATGGGAGAGCGTGCACCTTGTTGCAGTACTGCGTGTACTTCCCGGCCGCATGCGTACTCCTCAGCGAACTCTAGTGCCGGGACTACTACGCTGTCGGCAGGATATCGGGCAGGATCTCAGGAGAAGCTCCTCCGCGGAGAGTTCGGCTATTGCTCAGGGAGTCCTCACCACCCGCCAGACCAGGATCCTGGACCGCGGGGGAGTGTAGCGGGCTCGGGTAGGCACCAAATGTCGGTTTACCATCCTGTTTCGCGAGCCGAGAGGATTATGTCAGTGCAAAATGCACCAATCGACAGTGCGAGGTTTTTAGGCAATAGCAGCACTCCTGAAAGAGCTGCCAGTCTTTCTGGCATATCAAAGGGTCCCCATGGCTCCTTTCCTTCTAGAGATTCCCATATGCCCGCACCGTTGTCATCGGCAAGGTCGATTGCGTCCACGTCCTCCCTCGCATTCCCTCTCCAGGGATCTTCACTCTCCCATACATCAAGATTACTGCAGCAGCCCATGAACGCAAGCCAGTGCAAACCTCCTTCAACAGATTTTCTGGGAGCAACTTCAGCCCGGAGCAGTACAACTCACCGGCACACAGATTCGCGCAGCTCGCAAGATTCCGGCACGAAACGTTCTAGGCATGGTCGGTGTAGCGAAACCCAGGTTTCGCCTTCTCCAGGACATGCGAGGAATGATCCAGCAGTTAGAAGCACAAGGTCTTCAGGCGTAAGCACACGGCGTGACTCTCTGCTCAGCGGACCGCGACGGACAGTCAGCTCGTTAATGAGCAAACAACCGCGCTCGACTACATCGGAAGTAAATTGTCCAGGGCCGAGGGGGAAAGCTCACTCATGCACAGCTGGAACACTATCTACAGGATGTGCGCCCATTGAGTCGATCGCAGGAGAGCGATTTGAGGGCAGTGATACAACACCAATCATGTATCGCCGTGCCTCAAGCAGCGCGACGCTGCCGGATGCAGAGTTGTCGCGGTATCCTCACCATCGCCAAAACGCGCACCATGGGTCTAGCAGGAAGGATAAACAGGATGACAAGCGTCAGCGTAACGGACCTCAGCCTGCTGAGTTATCTGCTGCAGGGGAGTCCAGCAACTCGACCACCCCATCGTCGGGGTGGGGCGGGTTTAACGGTGGGTTTATGAGCCAGGTGCAAAGGTGGATTAGCTAACCGACACAGTTGGTGTTCTGTGTAAAACAAGATTTCGCTGGATCTCACTTGGCATTGTAGTAGCTTAAGCTTTGGATGCATCTGTACTCGGCAAGAGACCCGCTTCGATGATTCTTCCAGTTTTTGCACTGAAAATCTCGGAACATATGCTGAATCCAGTAAATGCTTACTTCTGATGCGATTGTCCAGCCAACTTTTATTGTCAGTTTGAGCAAGGCTTGTTTTTTGAAAATATAACTGTATACAAGGAAGGCTATTACCTTGAAGCCCTAATGCCTTGAAAGGTTAACTGCTGTGTCTGGAGATACAGCCGCTGCAAAGTCATGGAGCCTTTGGTCTGGTTGGTAGTGAGCTTGCTTTGAATTTAGACGGAAGGTACATGGTAGCTGACAGATGCTTACTATTGTTTCAAATAGATAGACAATCAAGAGACCAGTAGAATCATAAGGAGCAAATGTAAATGGGCACGTTGCTGCTAGCATTCTGCAACAGCTAGGTACCTCTCGAAATTACCTCGTCTGAGTTTTCCTCCCAAAAGAGCACCTATTGCGCGCGACATCGGTAAAAATGGAAAGTTGTAGAGCTGTTGCAGGTAGTATCTGTTATTTCCTGTAGACCGATGGCCAGGCACTGTGAGTATACTATTAATGAGTGCCCTAACCACTTGCTTCTGCTCATGCGAGTAACTCGTTAGCGCAGTGAGCCACTAGCCATGTATTTTGGTGGAGTCCCCCGCAGGGAGGGTACGGAGAGTTCGAGGAAGGGGTGCCAATGGATTCAGGTGGATGTTAGCAAGCTGCAGCTTCGCGTTTTTAAGAAGATTGTGTTCTCGTCTGTCATGAAGCGTGTTTTTGGGCAGAAAATCAGCAAGCTCTGCGTTCTCGCGCAGCAGTCTTTCTCTTTCTTGCTGAATAATTGTTTGTTTCTCTGCCTCCAGCTCGAGGAGCTTGCGGCATTCTTCCTTGTCTCGCTCACGTTCTACAATCTGCTGACGGCGGCGTTCCTGTATAATCGCTTCTACCTAACAAACCGCAGTGATATTCAATATTTACTTTCCCAATTATTCGCCCCACATCATGCACAGTTTACGTTGTTCAACTAAGGCAGTTGAAGGGCATTTTCTGCTAAAAGCTTTTAAGGTTTTTTTTACCTCTCTGTTGTGTTCCAAGATAGCGAGTTTGCGCCTCTGCCGAGTCATCTGTTCAAGCTTTGCTTCTCTAGCAAACTTTGCGTAAAGCTCTTGCCGGAATTGTCCCTCCTCAGCTAATTGTTGTTGCCGCCTCCTTTCTTTCTCTTCCATCTGCTCCTTGAATGCGCTTGCGAGGGCAGCCTTTTCTTGTTGCCTGTTGCATTGGCGAAAAGAACCACAAACATTCGATATGTAAGTCCAAAAGCTTATTTGGTACTTGCTTCTGCTGTAGCAATCATCTTTTACAGCATTCCCCACCCCTTCCCACAAATGACGCTAGTACAGGGTTTTCGGTGAGGGCTCTACCTCGTAGCATGGATTGATACAACCTACCGCTTTTGTTTCTGAGCCTCTTCCTTCAGCCGCTCCTGTTCCTCGCGCTCGAACTCGTACAAATCAGCTATCAACTGGGCGTAGTCCGTCTCTTCTTGCTGCTTTCGTATTTGCTGCTGCAGGAGTTCATCTAGGACTCTCGCCTTTTCTCTACGTATTAACTCTTTCTCCTTCGCCAAGTCGTCAGCCCGTTTCTGCTGCATTTCGAGATACTCCTAGATTTTCCGGCATGCAACACATATAAGGCATAGTGCCAGGCCTTCAGCCTCAAATAAGCAAAAATAGCAAACAGGTCCCTTTGTGTGAAGTGAAATTATATTCTCACCCTGATTTCCTTCTCCTCCTTGATCTTGTTTTCGAGTATGACCTGCTTCTGCCGTGCTCTTTCTTTGGTTGCTTCCGCAACCATTTCTGCGTGAAGCCGTCGGCGCTCCATCGATTGCCTCTGTTCATTTTCCATTTCTTCAAGCAGCCGTGCAACGACTGCTCCTACCTGGGCGTTTACACCCAAGCTGTGAGGTTGGGAAAAGCTTTTCGCCACACGCTTTTAGAAAAACGTAATTCATGGGAGGCTGCCTACTACCTATCGAACGGAGATGCTTCGCAGTGAAGGGCTCAGTTGCCACAGCTGGGAGAAGCAACAGCATTTACCTGTTCCTTTTCAATTGCATATTTCTCCGCTGTTTCTTGCTGTTTTGCACGTTCTCTTTGCTCTATCTGTGCTGCGAGATCCAGACCAACTTGCCGCATTTGCAAGTTGCGATCCAATTCTTGGCGACGCGCATTCTCGCACTCTGCCAATCTTTTCTCCTCCATAGCAAGTTCAATCCTTGCATCCTCGAAGGCGGCATCGGCCCTGCAGCACAAACCTACCAGAAATGCAGAATTAATTTTTAATCGTTCATTTGCTCCCCAATAAGGCAGGGGGTACGTTGGCGTCAAGCAGAGATGCTTTTGACTCGTTTAATGGTGGTAGCGATCGGTGCTTGATTCTACAGCGAAACGGGTATTTCAACGCCCCACATACATTCCTTCTCAAGTAGGTTTACGAACGGAGTGTTATTGAACCCTACTCAAAAAGCACGTGCTCATGTAATAACACAGTACTGCAGATAGCCACCTAGTTGCATAAACACATTCTCGTGCGGATGGGCTTTGGAACCGGCGGCCTGCTACATACTGCTGGTATAAGTTGATACTTTAGCCCAACTGCTCTCCTGCGCTGTCTACACAAAGTGAGTTTGTGTGCAACGTGACGCCCGCCTTTACGCCAAATGCCTGGAAGCACTTCATCTCACAAGGAGTTGAGAGAGTAGAAGAGGCTTTTTGTACAGGCTCTCAATGATAGTGCCAACGGAGGCATCTCCTTAGGCGCCTTTTTAGCTTACTCTCTAAGCTGCCGTTCAAGAAGCTGAGCGGCTCTTTCGCGATTGACTCTAGCGGTTGCCAGCTGCTCCTTCAGCTTGCGAATCTCTTCGCTTTCCTCGCAGATCTTCTGCCTTTCTAGAGATGCTGCTTCCTCGCGTTGCAACTGGTTGTCTAAAGTATCAGTGATTCTCTGGTGAAGCTGCCTCTCCTTGATACTCTGTTGAGCTCGCTGCTCCGCAAAAGTAAATTCCAAGTCCCTGGAAAGCTCTCCAATGTCTGCCTTCGCCGCTTTTTGCCGTCTAAGTGCCTCAACCCGAGCATCACTACGTGCAAGATTGATCATCTTAATCCGTTCAGCCTCGACCTCAGCTAAGGCCTTGTTTTGCTGCTCCTCAGAACGTCTGCGCTCCAGACGGCGCTCTACGGCAAGGCGATTAGAGACCTTCCCCATTGTTGGAGAATATTTCAAACAGTTCGGCGATAGATTACTGCAATTTCCGGGTACAAGAGAGAAGTTTCTCGACGAAGTCTTTCCGAGTTCAGTGTTATTGTTTCAATGCATGTTGATGCACTAGCTGTTCGCAGGAAGTGTGTGGCGAGTGTGTGTGCGACACACTGACATTATTGTTCTTGCAACATCGTGCAAATGGCCAAACCTTCACACTTCCCTATTCTATAAAGGCAACAAGGATACAGAAGCCACACTATTGTATACTTTATTCGAAGATGCCAAGCACAAGCGTTGGATCCAGTAAGTAGAAGTCATTAAATCGTGACACTCGCAGTTATTCTTGTTCAATAGGTAATCAGAAATCATTATTTATTACATTACTGAGACAGCAACTTAGACAACCGAGAGGTAACACACGACTGCTGCGTGTCAGCGGTGCTCGCTGCCACAGATGTACGACCGGGAACACATGCTTTCCACGTGTTCCCCCTGTTCGGAGCAAGTGAACATATCAAGCATTCATTAAAATTTGAAGTACAGCAATGCAGTACGTGAAACGATAGTGGAACAGTAAATCGTTTCAATCCTGGCCCTTCAAGCCCCCGCCAGAGCCCCGTCCGGGGGTCACTTCGTGAAATCCCTGTGGGGGCTCGTTGTGAAGAGGAAGTCTACAGTGATTTCGAAGGCACAATGTAAACTATTAATTCACCGGACCATCTGAAGTCTGGCGTTTCCTGTTTACACTGAAGCAATATACCGTCCTTATATTCATCCCGCCGATTCCCACTGAAAGCCCTTTAGTCCGAAACGCCCCCCATCCACGTTATAGCTAAAATTCTGTGCATCAAACACTAAGTTACTTTGCAATTCGTATCTTATGTTCTACCACTAGACGTACATGTCACAAGCTACCCCGGTTCGATACCGCCCCTTTGCCATCTTGCGGGGCGCGGTCCGTACCAACGGAAATAGAAGCACCACCATTTATACCTGTACCCGCCCATAAGTGGCCTTGCTTCGACGCTGTTACTGTGAATGAAATCCTCAACTGACAAGAAGATATTCCCCCCAATAGGGGATAAATACTAGCCGTCGCCGACACCGTCTAATGCTGGCACTATGTAGAAGCTGCCTGGTTTTTATTCGCCTTACTTACACAAGCACATTCCCCCAATCTAAGGGAAACAATCCGAGATGCGATTAAACAATATACACACCCTGTAAAGCTTACCTAGACGAACATGAAATGGGAGCATCAGAAAAGCTACGAAGGAAAGGAAAACTGAATAGTTTCAAATGAATACGTGACCCAGAACTGTAGTTATCATCAGCAAATGCCTAATTCTATTGGCAAGCAAACTATTCCTCGTGCCCCACTCCCCAGCTGTCTCTTCCATGGTGTGCGTCGAGTTGAAACGTCGTATATTATCTAAAATGAAGTCCTTGGTTGGCCAAAGTCCAAGAACGTTCTATGGGGCAGTCGGGAGAGGCGGACGAGATGGTTCTTGTAACTGCATGATCGGCTGTGTCATTCGAGTGAAGATTGACTCTAGCAGCACATGAACAGCCTTCTCTTCATGCTGTGGCAACGGTGCCTCCGCTGCTTCCCCTGTTGGTGGCGCGTCGACGGGTCGCACTGGAGTTGGGCACGGGGCTGACTTGTGAATAGTAGACCGGACAAAGTCTACCAACTCGAGTCCAACATCCTCGTCCCTGGCAATAGTCAACGCGTCATCGAAGTAGAACGACGCTGCTGCATCGGATGCTTCGAATCCTTCAACTTTGCCCTCGATTGAGCAAGGCGGCGGGCGTCTCTGACAACAGGAATGACGAGTATGGCTATTGCTCCACGGACGACAACGTTCGCAACAGCAGCAACATGTCAACGGCCGAGCACGAAGCAGCAGCAACAAAAGCAAGAGAACCGCCGCCAGACAGCTACACAGAGAACAGCGTAGCGTGGGAAGAGGCTGCAGAGGAAAGCAGCAAACGCAAACACAAAATCGCTGATGACGGCAATTGCAGAATTTCTGTTTTTTCTTCAATCCATGCATGTTCCACATAACAAGTACAAGACACTTCATCACCGGATCGCGCAGATACAGCAGTGGAAAGCCAAGCTAATGTGTACCTGAAGCGGCTGAAGAGTTTCACACAGTTCCGTAACAAGCGAAGTAAAATTATCCGCTGCAGCTGGCAAGCTCCTTAGGATGGCTTTAAGGAGCTGTTGTTGTCGCCTCTTCCACAGCTGTGTTGGCTCGATATCATCCCCCGATTCCCCGTCAACGCAGGAGACATTATCAGACTCATCCCCTTCGGTGGTTTTGCGCAAGTGGAAATTCCTCGCGTCGTCCTCATCCGACGCCGTCTCTAGCTTCGGGGACTCGTCACCGTCGGAACCACGGGAAGCCGAATCTCCCGACGCTGATGCGGCTCCCTCACATGAACAGGTGCAGAACCGACGGTGATAACTGGCAAGGAATCTGGCAGACGCATCGGTGCAACATGAAGATAAAAGATCGAATGCAATAACTATGTCAGAGAGCCGCATATATCCCACTTGAGCTTCAGTACTGGCGCTAACAGGGGGAGGTGACGGCTCCGTTGGCTCTGTAGGAGGTTTGAGGATACTCCTCAATTCTCCATTGCCGTTTCGCATCTGACTGCCGGCAGCATGTGAGCTGCCTGCTGCTGCCTGCCGTTCTAGGCGAGCGTAAAAACCCGGCCCGTCATCTTCGTCATGAATGTTATAGAAGTGCTTGAAGAGATACGCCGCCGAGTCCGCATCACCATCTCCGTCAACTCCGTCTTGCTCGTCGTCATCTGCAAATCGAACGCGAGACCCACGAACCTTTAGCGGGGCCTCGGTATGCGCATTCTTCTCCCTAGCATTCGCGGCGATCGGATCAACCCGCTGCTCCAACTGCCGTTCAGCAGCTACGACGCCGTCCATCCTGCTTGGGTCCACAACCGCAGACCGCGAAGAAGAAGAGGTAGACGCCCGTTCAATTTTAGGGGAAGTCGAAGACACCCCCCTTGGGGAACAGCTTGCAGAAGCCCCCACAGACTGTTCGCACGTGCCTGGTTGGCTGCCAGGAACGGAGGCCTTGGGACCTTCATTATTGGCTGTTGAAGAAGACCCGTATTCTAACAAGAGAATCCTGTTCGCCGCAGCTGTTCCACCTTTTACTCCCAATGCGGCAGCCGGGTGATCAGCAAGAGGGGGCCCCTCGCTATCTGTAACAGAACTACGGCTGTCTTCATTTTTGTCTTTCGCTGGCGCCTCGTCTGCACTGCTCTCATCGTCAACGGTCAAAGGAACCCTAAAGCTCTCGGACTCCAGGCTGCTGTCCAGCTTGCTGAGCTCTGCACTAGAGGACTCCGTGGAAAAGGAAACGCAAGAAGGCCGTTTCTCCAGCACCGGGCTAATCAGCCTCGCAGCATCCTCACCCAGCAACTCGTCCATCTCTAAAGGTGGTCTGAGGCCCATAACGCGCTGTGACGCGGGGTCAGAACTTCTTGACTCTCCTACCTGCTGCTTCTGCACCTGCAGGCTAGTTTCTCCCCCAGTCTTAACCCTGCCTTCCTCTGGCAAGCCGTGGGGATGAGGACGATAAGCGGCCTTCCTCTGCAGTGCGTCACTAATCCACTCCTTTATTCCAGGCCTGGTGTACATCGGCTCCTCGTCCAAAAGGCGTAAGAGCTGCTGTTGGCGGTTGCAGCAACGACTGCAGCAGAATTGCACCAACTCATCTTCCGAGAGGGCCTTGCTCCCTCCAAAGTCTAGTGTCCACCGCCATAATGCTGCGCGGCGCCTGATGCACAATCACCAAAAGCCACACGGGAAGTGTTGAAGACACATCGAAATGCAACACAAACCGCACTGCAGCACTCACAAAAATGCAATAGATACATATATGCTCCTTTGCAACTACAGAACCAGAGATTCACTATGCAATTTGAGACTGCCATCGTGAAACCGTCTCACTTTTCCGGTGTGGAGATGTTCCGCCTGCCGCAGAACACAAAGCCGCAGCACTGGGACTCTTGCCTTTCTACCGCCAAGTCCCTGAGCTCTGAAGGCTTGAGAAACACCAGTAATGATGCAACAATGTATGCAAAGTGCTCCAGACATTGTTCGCAAGATACCCAAGCAGTGACGGGCCGGCTTTCGTCTTCAACCGTCCTCCCCAGCCGCGCGCCCTCACCAGGCACTCCCTCCCCCCCAACGACCGAGTCCATCGTGCTCGTACGGGAGGAATCGTGATTGCTTGTTCCTGTAGAAGCTGTACTGGTGATATCTGCAGCCCCATGGGGGACTCCAAACGAGCAACATTCAGGGCACAGGGGCTCATGACTCATCCAGCCAGGCGTCTGCGTCTCGTGCTTCGAGCGACGCTGCCACAACACACGGTCAAGGGTGGCTAACTTGCCACTTAGAACGGGATCTTGCTGCAGCAGCCGCGAAAGCAGCGGGCAAGTAAGATGCTGCCTGATAAGATTGGGAAGGTCCCCCACAACGCCCGGCCCACTGCTCCGGCAGCCCTCTGTATGGGCAACGGAAGATCCTCCTCCTGGGTTCGGCGAAGGGGCATCACTCAAGGCGCAGCCGGTGCAAGATGGCCACCCTCCAACACGAAGATCTAGCAACTCACTTTGGACCCAGAAACGCGCCGATGTGCAACGTGCTCGGTATTCCAACAACGCCTCTGCAAAGATATCAAAACAACTAGAGAGGACCCCAGCTGAAAGAACACCCCTCCATGCGCAGGCCTTCTTTAGGAGAAGCCCCCTGCCTTTTACATTTACATGAAAAGTACATGAGGAAAGCTTATGGAACACCCAGATGTTTGCACAACCCTGTATGGGCAGCACACTTCGTGGAAGTGGAGTCTCCAACATATCTTCTCAGGCGGATATCCTGAAAGGTGACACCTGAGCAGGAAAATTACAGTGTTAACTTACTTGCACGCTCATCTGCAAGACTGCGAAAGTCCTTTGAACCGATATTATGGGCCTGCTTTTGCTGCTGCTGCGGCCGAAAGCGATGCCCCGTGCTAGGCGACCCACGGTCCGCGGAAGCCTCTGCTGAGGCCTCCCCGCTCTCCTCCATCCGGCAACAGTACGGGCGTCGCACGTCCTCGACAACTGGTCTCTTTGACTCGTCTAAAGCTTCAAATTCAAAGAGAGCCTTCGCCTCTAGTTGGCGGAAGGGACCAACCCGCTGCACCAGCAGCCACCCGATGTTGGGCAACCAACAGCTTTCTCGGAAGTAAAGGGTGTATCAATACAGCTCGTACGACGTTCTAGATGATAAACACCAAGTTGACTCTGTGAAGAAGCAGAGGAGGCAGAGCAACTGTTCAGGGGCCCCAGCGACAGACCAGGCCGGGCTCGGTGTCTACGGCGGCAGACGCTCGACGTGGTTCGGCCTAAATTGGAAGTCTTAGCGATTGCATTTGGCCTCAAAAACAGGAATAGAATGATAAAACCCAAGGGCTTACTACTTTTGTCTCGCCGAACAAGAGATGGCTCAGCAAACACGAGCTGCGCACCTGCAGTAAGCCGCGGCGACCAGCGCCCCTACCAGCGGCAGCCTTCTCCGCCGCACTGTTTTGATACAAATAGAAAACCTGTACAACTGAAGGAAACCGCGTCGGAAGTGTTGATGAAAGATAAAACGCAGCTTTTGGCCGTCCTGTTGGGGTGACCGGAGCTGTAAGAGAGCCTATGCACCCCACGCCGAAAAAGCGCAACTCGAGGTATGACGATGAGCCAAGGAAGCAAAAAAAAAAGGAAAATCTGGACTATTTCTCTACCGAATCTCGTGTTCCATCTTTCTTTGGTTGTATGTCGCAGTATGGGGCCGGCTGTGGCTGTTCTCCCTTTAGGGCTGCGCGGCAGCAGCCCCTAGACAGGCAAGGACCTTTTGGGTCTTCCATTTGTGCACCTTTTAGTAGGAACGACTTCCGCCTCTTAAGTGTACTCCGTGGCGTTACTTCTGTTCTTCAGAGGTGTTCTTGTGCGCGTATAAACCTATCCCCACCAAAATGGTAGGCACGGCGCTCCGCTGGCCCCTCTTCACCACCTACAATACAGCTCGCGCTGAATCCTGCTGCTTGTGGTTTGAGCGGGACTAAGGGACGCTCATTGTACCCAAGTGTCACATCTTGAAGACTGCGTATTCTCTATGCAATAACTGCGCCTCAATGCAACTACATAGTTTGTGTGACCCGCCCCACACGGTCGCAGACGCTGATCCGCTTTTCCTCTGACTCGCTGGTTACAGGGTTGTCTTCCGTGTGCAAGAAGCACATCCAGGCGTTTTCTTGCCTGGTGAAGGTGACATGATTGGGGTGCAGTTATTTTTAACGTCATTCGTCCTCCTCCGTGTTTGCGGGCGGATTTTCCCTGTGTGCCTGTACCTTGTGCTCTGGTTGTGCTGACACGTCCATTTGTGTTGGGTTCAGTCAGGGGTATCGGAAAGGCTGATGCCTTCCTGGGTCTTTGCTTATGTGTCTGTGCGAGTTCATTCCAGTCAGGTGTTGCATCGCGCCTCATGCCTCTCTTCGGGCGCTGCGTCGTGCAGAAGGTGCAGCCGTCGGCGGTAAGCAAGGGGGGAATATACATTCCCTCTAGCGCATCCCAGCAGACAGGCTGTCATATAGCTAAAGTTGTTGCCGTTGCTCCTCCAAAGCCGTCGGCGAACGCCGCAGTAAGCGAGGATTGGTCGAAGCTGCAAGTGGGGCAGACGGTGATGGTGCCGGAGTACGGCGGAATGAAGCTGCAGCTGGAGGAAGAAGAACTGTTCGTCTTTAGAGGAGAAGATATCCTTGCAGTAGTAAAGGACCAGTAAAAACGGCAGGGGCATGCTGGTGATAAGGAAGCAGAAAAGTGTTCAAGGGTTCGCTGCTGTCAGGAGTGGGGAGGGTTCTGTACTAATTACACAGACGCACAGCCAGAAATATGGTTGCGCGTGTAAGAGACAGCGGAGGAGAGGAAGAACCGGGGATGTGCTATCTCGCCTCACGGTTCTTTGGTGCCAACTAAATAATGTAGCGTTTCGTGCATCAACCGACATCATGTTTTCCCTTATAATGGAGAGCGCGAAGGACAGCGCTTTCGCGGACCAATGTACTCAGCCTGCAGAGGCCATTTTGTGGTACGCGCAGCCGTGGTGTGTTTAGCTATTCGACGTTGAAACGTACAACGAACCAACATTACAATTTTGTTGCAGTGTCAGTTTGCACTGCAACATCGGTGACGGCTAACACCTTATGGTATCCTGCTGTTGCAGGAATAATTCAGAAAAACAGTTGCATGCTGCAGTAGATTGTTCTGTCTCAACACTGTAATGGCCAATGCCGATGAATGCACTGGCTCAGCTCTGTAGAGATTTCAGCTTTGCTGCCAAATCGTCTACAGAGGAGGCACATGCAACACCTCTAGCTTCAGAGCCACCGTGACTGCCTGCCCCCACGGTTTCATTTTCTTCCCCGTCTTCAACTAGACTGATGCCGAAAGGGTTCTCCTCGTGAAGCGGTCCATCTTTCGCCTGCTCTTCCTTCACGTGAGGAAGGAAGAATTCGAGCGACAGCCCCTTCTCATGCACCTCCTCCTGTATCGCACAGAAGTAACGTAACCCAGAGTTGTTGTCCCAGGAGGCCACTGACGAAGTCCCTGGAGTTGCATACATGAAGGCTTGTAATTGAACATTGGCCAACTCTTTACAATTTTTGAAGGGACAACTGAATCCTCTGTCTACATACCTGCCTTCGGCAGCACCATGCATCTGCGCACTCGTCGTTCGGCCTCAAACGCAGTGAAGTAAAGTGGTCTTGCAGCGACTCCCACCCCACAAACGTCGACGGCCGACCGAACCCCAGTAAAAACTTGAGTGCATTTTGCACCAGGAAACCTGTACCCACAGCAGCCACGAACAATTTCGTTGCAGTAGGTAACAGCTGCTGTGAAGCCAGCGGTGGGACTGTTTAAACGGGCATATTAGACTAGAAGGGCAACTGTGTATGATAAAAACAAGAGACCACAAGTGCAGAAAATCAACTGCGATGGGTTTTCCCATATGTTGTTGTTTACCAGCGGTGACGCCCATAGTGGTTGGCAGCGATGCGGCGCACACGCCCTCGCGCTTTATGGAGTTCTCATCCTCCTTTGTAGCCACGACGTATGGAGGAGCACACTGAACAGGGAAAGCCACAGTGTCTTGCAACTCAGCCCATCCAAGGTGCTTAGTCTTGGGATACCTGCCAGAACGCCCCATAGTACGGCGGCTGCGTCAGCTGATAGCAACGTTCCAGCAAATTACCTGGAAACAAGCTAGAACTCCCGGAATGCACAGCTGTATTTGTCCACTGGTCGCATTCTCACTGACCCCGCTGTTGAACCAAGGAACTCCTGGGGAACAAGGAGAGCAAGACAGGATACATATATATTACTTAGCAGTATCCCGAATTACAACTCCACGTTGGGATACGCGCACACAGGCATGAAGGTTTTTAAAATATTCGAGCCCCTGCGCTCGCTCTTTATATACTGAAAAAATAGCAGTACCTTCTAGGCGAAACGGGGATGAGGAAGCCGAATGGCTTCTGGGAGACGCTCGATTGCACCAACTCATTCAGAGATAAGTCGACGCTAACGTGTGTAGCGAAGTGGTTCAACGGCGCTGCATTCATGATTTAGCTCACCTGCCTCGTTGCACGCTTGGCTAATTGTTATGCGGGCCGCATAGTTGTCAACGCAGCTCAGAACAAGATCAACAGGCCATTTGCCTGGACAGTCAAGGCCACTGCGCTGCTCAGATCCCTGCTCTCCTTCCCTCTGTTGTCGCATCTGGTGCATCGAATCCTTGCCATTCAAAATGCGTGACATAAAGAGGTCGAAGTCCTGGCAAATGTTTGCATTGTGTGCTTCCAGTTCAACATCGGGATTCACGAAGGAAAGGGTCCGCCTGGCAGCCTAAAAGTATGCAGTAGTACTCACAAACTGCAAAGTGCTTGTGGAGCCTACACGTGATTCAACCTGAAGAGCAGGGCCTTCCACCTACATCCTATATTTCTTGCCGTACGTACCTCTACTTTGGTGAGACCGACGTCTTTTGGAGTAAAGAAAAGACGATTCATGTTCGATAGCTCAACCGAATCAAAGTCAAAAAGAATGAGCTTCCCAATGCCGCAGCGAACCAACATTTCAGCTGCCACAGAGCCCACTCCACCTACACCCACAAGCAATACAGCCCTCTGGGTGATTTTTTGGTAGTCACGCACTACGCCCATCCTGAGGACAGCACGCATCGGAAGTAAAGTATAATAAGCATATACTAGCGGAAACTTCTTCGGTCTTCAGCAGTCGAACTTTCGTGTAGCAATGCAAGCACTTATCAGTCCGGCTGGACGCACCGTTGCAGTGCCATGAGACGGGAGTACGGATTGTCCGCCCGAACTTCGGCACTCATCGTCGGCATCTTAGGGCGCACGCATCCATCTCTCTGCCCTGCAGTATCATGGGCCATCTTCACGTTAGGCGTAATGCTACACCGTCAGGAAAGACGCATGCAGTACAACCCTAGGTGCCGCCAGCTCAACACTCTGCAGGCCTATCGCAGAGTTTAGGCTCGCGTGAAGCACAGCGATTGCAAGACCTTATATTCTAGTGACTTGAATTTGGCACAGCAGCTCCGCTAAAGGTCAATTTCAATCGATTAGTCCCCCAGGTGCATGGCGCCGGCGAACTTGGAAGAAAAACATAGAGTACGCTTGTACGACAGGACGGGAGGCACACAATATCTCCGAGAGAAGGTCGTGTAATTCCAGGATGTGGATGTTGCGAATATAGCAGATGGGCGGGAATTGGGGCAGATATTTTATGAATGAGGCGTTAAACGCTCCTACAAAAGTACGCGACGTTACCCCTTACCCCTGGAGGCTACAATCAGCCCTTTACTTCAGAAGTCAGGACAGGTAAACAAAGCCCAATACAGGCTATTTCTGAAATGCTGGAGAGGCACACTGTGCCAAGGATCGTTCCCAATGTGTAGTGAACGGGCCGGCGCATGCCAAGTTACACTGGGCGGTACAAAAATGGGCCCGGAACCCTAAGAGGGGTGTAACCAATGTAAGAAACGGAACTGCCTCGGGAAATTTACAAACTGGTTCCAACGGAGATGGGACATCTATAACTCACAGCTACATGTAGACCTGTCTAAGGCCAGCCGTGCGCCTAGGCAGCCGCTATGCCCCTAGTTCTGCAGTTGATAATCATGCTGAGTACAGCTATCCCGTGAATTCATTGATAGGAATTGTTAAAAGCCAAGCAAAACTGGCGAAGAGAGACGGAAGCTCTTAAGATAAGTGGAAAATATTTTATCCTACCTGCCCTACTACAAGCTACTCGTGTTGCGCCAGCCCCGCCTGCGAGTTGCCAGCTTCACGCCAATCGTTGGCATATATTGATGCAAGATTCAGAGCGCTTTCGCCTACAAGAACTTAATTTTTTGCTCGCAGGTATTTTTCTCCGAATATGGGGCAGATCGTGTCAGCTGGCTATAGGAGGTCGCGGGTCAGCGGATCATAGCATAACTAATGCGGCGGGCCCGTGCACGATCGGTGACTAACCCAAAATGTCTTGACAAATTTACACACATTGAATTTATGTACTTGAGCCAGATGCCTGCACTGGTGCACTGCGGTTCCCACGGGCGAAGTATTCCCTGCTGGGTTAGTGCAGTGTAGCATAGTCTGTGCAATGCTGGCAACTCAGTCGGACGTCGGCAGATGACCTCTGACGCAGCCCTAATAGACCAACGTCACGCAAGCAGACAGATTTCACAACTATCCACAATGCCGGTGCAGACGACCAATAAGGCCTGCTGCTACTGATATGCTGAGCTACCTCATACAGTGGGCAGCACAAAGAGGGCGATACGGATGGTGCTTTGGGGTAATTAATATAGTATGTGCGTCGGCTCTGTTGGTGTTTGCACCGGTTCTAGGGTAAAGGCGGGGGTTTTCATTATAGTTGTGGCTGGCCCAACCATTAATTTGCCCGTAGGACCACTGCGTTACGTATGTTGCTATGCACTCACGTTCACCAACCAAATATGGAGAGTTGAGCATGAATATAACTTTGTATTACATGCATAGGAGCGTCTACTAAGCCCAAGACCGCCGTCAGTTGCAATATATACGGAGCACCTGTTGCAGTTAGTTCACAAAACAAGGTTACTGCTCCTCCTGCTTTCTGCCATCGAGCATAGAAGCACACGAACGAAGGGCTGCTATAAAGGGGCAAATGGTCCGAGTGACCGGGTCTGCAGTACCTTCTGTTGCAATTCTTAAAGCAACTGTAACCCCTGGCCTAAGCACCCACATACCTCTCGGGGTGCACCAGTTATTTCGCCTCCTGGAGCCCATTACCCTACAAATATGTATAGGCGCACCTTCCTCTGACATTCCATGCATGATGTGCCACCTTTCGCTCTTCAAAAACCGCACGCCATTGTACTCTGAGCTGCCTACAAGGAGCGTTGCGCTTCTCGACAAAGAAGCATTAGTCGGGAAACTTGAGTGCATACTCGGGTTTCTCGACTACTCTATTTAGGGAATGAAGCCGCTGGCTCTCGCAATAACAACCAAAGGAATCCACAGAGTTGTGCTTCCTTGCATATGATAGAGTGCATTGTACAACAACCTAGCTTAACACGGACTAAAGACTGCGTAGAAGAACTTGAAAGCAACGAACCCAAAGTGCAAAGCAGTTTCCACTGTAGCACTAAAAACACAAATACTGTTTAAGTCAATAGCTTCACACGATGAAAAGTGAAGAACAATACGGAGGAGAACATTCGTGTGAAGATGCACACTGCGCCTGTGGCTCCCGCAACACGTGATCCTCGCATACGTTGCAAGGGAAGAAAAATAAGCTTCCGTTCAATACGGAGTACTGAAAAATTTTAAACAAGTTAAATCCTCTGGATCAAATCAATGAACCGGTCCGCAGCTTCAACGTAAACGACCCTCACTTCCAACGAAGGAGCAGAGGAGTCTCACCGGTGCGTTCGCTACAAGTTCGTTGCCTGCTGCAATATTCCTTCTGACATTCCTGCTCTGAATGCAGCTATGGTCCTTCATAAGTACAATTCGACAACAGACATAGTCTCTGAAAGCGGTCACGCACGCGAGCACCCCACGGACCATCAGCCTCCAGTACCCGGTTGAGTCCAAGGGCGACACGAGTTGCTGCATTTATATATGACAATGCGTCATCAGCAATTTCAGCTAAAACACATTTCTTCGTGAAATGTAGCAGATACCCGACAAGAGCACACCTCGAGCCGCGAAACCCTCCAAAGGCCACACCACCGGCCTTCGACAGGCCCACGCGGTTGCTCCTGCTATGATAGGGAGTTGCAACATTTCTCTCTTCACCGCATTAATCAACTTTGTATTCCCATTATTTTCATGCACACATGCTAGTTTAGGGAGCAAATTCATAGTGATTGCAGACGGGTACCAGCAGCATTCGTGGCTTGGCCCGTGCACCGATGGTGCAGAAAGCGTTGCGCTTTTAAATGCAGAGGTTCATATATTGCTTAGATATATCCTTACGATGATGTCAACATGCAGAAGATAGAATAATATTTGTATCATTGCGCACCCGACGTTCTCCTTTGTCGTCCGTGGACGTCGTCCTCCCTGCATGGCGGTGTGCCGCAGGAGCAAGCCGTGGCCAGCCGGGCCAAGGACAGCCCGAAGAGCTTTCAACAGCGTCCTGCTCTCGTAACACGTCTGTTCATAATCGCACATATTAAGTACTTATCAGCATAATTAGCACAATTGAAACTTGATTGGCTTTTTGGTTCTTCAGGCGCGTGCTGCACTCGCGCCGTACAGGAACAGTGCTTCCTGTCAGTCTTCCGCCTCCTGTTTTAGGAGATACGGTATCAACTTCCTACTTGCTGAGGACAAACCTCCAAATGACTTGCAAAGATGGTGGCGGGAAAACGTCAGTCTCGGCACCCTTGTCCACAAGTTGTGGCAAATGTGTAGCTGGACCACAGGAAACACAACATTGGCAGCAAACTTTTCATGCGACTAATGCCTTTCTGTCTATGTTTCTGCTTTCGTTTCCGTTCTGAGTGGTCTTATATGAGTCTGTGATGACACGCAAGTGGGATCTAGGACAAATGCATTCGTTAGACCTGCGTGGCATGGATATGTACAGAAGTGTAGGCGGTGCTCGCTCCGCCCACATCAAGTTATGACTCTATGTATGCCATATTTATAGCATACGTAATCTTGTTTATGTTGCATCCTGTGGAGTTGAGTGCATAGAGGGGAATGAGACCGACTTACAGATTGCTGCAGCAAGGCGTCTGGGTTCGCTGTTCGGTATTATGTTGTCTTCAGTTAAGAGAAGCCCGGACGCCGGCGTGGCGACCGCGGTACAAGGAATCATTCAACACCAGAAGTTCAAGCGCATGCTTCTTTTTGGATTGCGTTCTTTATCAGATTTCTGCAGTCCCACCAACCAGCTCTACCAGTGAGGCTCGAGGCGGCTGGCAGGTGTCAGGCAGCATTACAAGCCATTGTGCCAGAAACAATTGCTTTTTTGGGCATGATTTATTGGAAGTAGAATTTTTGTGAATCCTCAGGGAAAATGCCCAAGATGCAATGGAAAAAGGAGTACTCCCTGCTATGCAGACGGCAGTGGAGACTTTCCCAGATGACGAAGATCTCATGAATTGCTGTTCGAGAGTCATATGGGCTATGTCCGACGCGTGTAAGGAGGAAATGGATGCCAGCCGCATTGCAGTTCTGGCCACTCATGGAGGGCCTATTTGCCTCGCGATTGTCAACAGGTGAGCTCGCATAGGGCAAACTAAAGACACGTTGCTACAGCCACACGTTGGTTGATTAGGAACATTGCTGCTAGCTGGATAGATCATTACTAACCTATTGAACTCATGAACGAAGAGGAGCACCACCGAGTTCCAGGTTTCTGAATCATCGCAATATGCTCGCATGTGGACATTTTCAGTTGTCCAAGCGAACCCCAGACCGTCTCTGACACGATGACATTCGTTGAGAACATGCACAAGGTGGGGAGCCCCCTGGACGGTGGTTCCCTTGCTCCAGGACTGCTGGCAATCTTTTCGAAGAAGGTGGACATGAAAACGGCATCGCGTGTTGCGGCGGCTCTTGCAGTCGCCACGAATTCTCCTTCAGGAGCCCAGGCAGCGGCGGCGGCGGGGGGAATGGGCCAAGTTTTAGAGTTCTGTCTTTCGAATGGAGATATGTCTGAACCAGCAGTCCAGTGTGTCGAGTCGGTTTTCGACGCCTGCAAGCATATGGCAGAACAGGGCCAGGCGCAGCGCACAATGTTGGAGCAGTGTATTGGCGTTATGGACAAGTACAGGAGCAAGAAGGGAGCTTTCTCAAAGGGGTCAGCAGCTCTAGCGTCGATGATTGGTCCAGAGCAGTTGCAGCAATGTCTGGCGGATCTAAAGTCTAGCTCCCCCGGCTCGCCCAAGCACGACGAAGCGTTGACAACACTTGGATCAATGTCCTACATATCGTCGTTTACGGACGAGATTGTGCGTGCTGGAGGTATCCCGTTGTTGTGCGAACTCATCAACAGTGGCCTAACGCAAATAGAATCAAATCCGGAGAAAATCTACAAGATGATCGCGGGGGCGGCAAAGATGCTTGCGCGCATCGCCTCCAATCCTACTAACGTGGATTCGATGGTGCAGTCAGGAGCAGTGGCCACCCTCGCAACTGCTGTCTCGTACTGTACAGATAATTTAGAGTGCCTGGGAGCTCTTTGCATGGCATTAACGCCTCTTGCTGCACGTGAAAGTCTGGCCAGCGAGATTGTGCAGTACCAGACATTCGCGACTGTCCTTCCGTTGCTGTATCAACACGTGGAGAACTCTGATTTTGCCCCCCTGGCTATGGAACTCGTTGCCACCGGTAAGGACTGACGCCAGCCCAGTCAACCGAAGAATTGTAAAGTTGGGTAATGGGAGGGTGGACTCAGCGTTGCCTACTGTGGTCATTAACTGTGAATTTACGCGCAGGCTCTCAGCACGCAGAGCTCCATCAACACATGGTGGCAAACCTGGCAGTGGAGATATGCGCGATGTGCTGCAGCTATCATTTAAAAGATACCGCCTTTCAGGCGAACGCTATCCTGTCGCTTAACCGCTTGGCCGGGAACTTGACCAGCGTCCGTAGTATCCTGGAGTACAGCGGTTTTCAAGGTGTTAATGCATCAATTAGGGCCAACATCCAGGACGCTACCATTGTTCAGGGGGCTGTGCAACTCTATGAGCAGCTTTCAAAAGTGGCGGATGCAAAAACGTACATGGCCAACAATGAATGCGTCGATGCTGTGCTAGAGGCAATGCTCGAGCACGAACAGAATGAGGCACTGGTGAACTCCGGTGTCAACTGTTTGAGCGTAATCGCAACGGAGGATGACTGCAATCGCCACCTCAGTGACCTCGATACAGCTATCCAGACAGCCAGGGGGGATCCTGACCGCGCTTATCGTGCACTGGCTGCGGTTGCAGGTCTTAGTCGCGTCAGTCATCTACGGCAGTCTTTCGAGGCTAGGAATGCTGGTATGTCGGTTACTGGCTTCTTTTGCATTGCTGGAGAGCGATTGTACACGCAGCGGTAACTCCATTCGGTTGTAACCGTCTAGTATCAAGTTTGGGCGACGGTGATTCTTGTGTGTGGTTGATTCCTTCAGCGGAGGTGATTTTGAAGGGGATTCAGAGCTGGATCGACGGTTCACGTTTTGAGGGCCAGGGCCGCGTAATTCGTGCAGGACTCAAGACTGTCAAGATCATCAAGGTGAATGGTGACGGAGATCTTACCCCTGTTTTAGTGAACATGTGCGAAATTGCATGCCTTCCTCCAGTGAAGCGCATTGTGGAGCTGGAGGAACCCGATGACAACATCTTGGTGCACTGCACAGCTGGTGCACGGGACGTAGCTGCCACCGGCAGGATCGCCAAGGAAAACATAGAGCCTGCAGTAGAGGCATTAATGAGGGTAATGCGTAAATACGCGGACAGCCGGCGTTCGCAGATTAATTGCCTAGAGGCCCTTGACTACCTCGCTGTGTGCGACTCCGGCGGCGGCGTGCAAGTGCTCGTCAAGTCTGGAGCTCTAAACGCTGTGGTGCAATATCTCAACAAGTCACCCATGTACCTAGACGCGCAGATCGCAGGATTTACCGTCCTAGCGACATGCGCAAAGATCGACCCGTCTTCAGCAGAAGTCATGAAGAAGTGTAATGTACTATCTGCCTTGAAGGTGGCGATGCGCACACACTCCAAGAGCAAAGAACTTAAGAGGACTATCGCGCCTCTCTTGGCTTTGCTCATGCCTGTTGACGCTTTAGAACGAGAAATATCCGAGAGAGTTGCAGAGTGCAAGGCTGCGATGGAGAAGAATAATATGGTGGGCATGCACGAAGCACTAGTTGAGCTAAACGAACTTTTGGTATCCGCTGAGGGCGCCAAGATCGCAGCACGTCTAGGAGTTGGAGGGGAACTGGAACGGTTCTCTAACTACGCCGTTGGGAACAAGTCAGTTGCACTGGCGGCAACGGAGTACGATATTCTCGGGAATGATCTGTATGTTGCGACAATGTCTGAAATCTCGCATGCCGTAGAACAAATGGCATCGGTGAGGACTGGCTGTGTGCACTGCATCAAAACCGGGAACGTAGTGAGCGTATTGAACATATACGGGGCTGTGAATGCCACCGAAAAGTGTGTCCACTCTGAGGAAGCTGCCCTTCATTCTCTGGAGGCTTTGCGGCTCATGGTCAAGACGGACAGGAAGTCGGCGGATGTCGCTTTCGAGAACAATGTTGTTGCTACTTTGTGCAGTGGCATTGACAATTACCAGGACTCAGCCCCAGTGCTTGCAGCGACCTGCGGATGCCTTGCGGCCTTGGCTACGACGCCTTCGCGGGTTGCAGCCTTGGTGGCACAGCCTGACTTTGACAACCTTCTCAACAGGCTTGTAAAGATAATCAGCGAGGATCCAAAGAGGGAAAATCGGCTTGTAGCCATCAAGGCACTCAGGGAACTTGTAGAAACATGCAATGATCCTTCGCTGGCAGTCAAGATTTGCGACGCCGGTGCTGTCAATGCACTTTTCTCTACCATTGAGAACTACGGCGATGACGAAGATCTTGTCCGTGAGGCAGCAACAACCTTGGCACTTTTGGGTGTGCACGATGACCTCCGGCGTTTCTACGGAAATGATGTGCGCGCGCCGTGCATGATTCTAACAGCTGCGATCGACAAGCAGAAGAACAGCGGCGCAACAGCATATCAGCTACTGAGTGTGTTGAACTGCATTACAACACGCGAAGACCGCCCCATTCTCAAGGAACTCGGTGCTATGGGACAGGTTGCAGATGCTATGCGTCTTCATCCTGATAATGAGGATATCACTAGGGTTGGGGGAGAGCTGTTTGCCAAGATGGGTGCGGATGAACAGATCAAGAGCATCATGCTTCAGATCATTTCTACTGTTGAGAGCGGCGACGAGAACACAGTAGCGACGGTGGACGCGCTGTGCGCACAGTTGGCCATGTACCTCGCTGCTCCTCTTGACGACCCAGCAGACGCTCTGCAGCACACGGAGAAGTGCCTCACCTCCCTCACCACGGTACTGCAGATGGCACCGGAAGACCAGCGACTACATGGAAATGTAGCTACTGTGGCACGGAGATTGTGCGACCGATGCTTCGACGATCCTAATGACTCTTATGGAGCATGGGCAGTAGCAAGTAGTGGGCTCTTGCATCAGATGGCAGCCATGATCGCTGCTGGACAGGTTGACAGCAACAAGGGCTTCTTGGTCCCTGGATATCGAGCTCTTGCTGCCTGTGCTGCCAATCCTTATAGCATGCCAACACTTCAAGAGGTGGCTCCTTCGTTTCTCCCGCAAACCTACACTTTGTTGGAAGCATATAAAAATGATGCAGAGACGACTGCTCGTATTCTCGAGTTCTTGAGATATTTTGCAGAGGATGCGAATGGAGCTGCGCTTGTAACACAGAGTAAGTGGCGCACTTTCTCATCAGGGGTTGCTTCACAGTAGGTGGTTTGAACGGTATACTTTATTCTTTAGTGTGTTTTCGTTTGTTGCTTGTGTTCAGACATGAACGGATCTTCGGGAGATATAGTGGCCCTCACCATGCTGTTGATGCAACAGCACCAGCAGAGCGACGCTGTGGTGACCTCTGGAATGTATTTACTTGGGGCACTTGCATACAATGGAGCAGTCTCTGGAGCTGATCCCATCCCGAAGTTTGCGGATGGATCGGCTTTGCGGGAATGCGAAGCCCTCTGTGGTGCGAATGCCAGTCAGGAGCGAATGATTGCATACGCAAACTTGATGGAACGTCTGATCCTTTCACAGTCGTACGCGGACTCCCTTGCGAAGCAGAAGGCCTTGGATAAGCTTGTCATGAGGATGCAAGCAGAAGAGGAATCAAAGAAGCTTCCAGAGGAGGCACGTGCAAGCATGCTGTGCGCCGTCTGCCGGGTATTCATGGCAGCTGGAGCCGCTGCGATGGTTGGCGATATTGAACGATCCAAGGGCTTCGAATTAATTATTCAGGCAATCGAGGACTATCCAGACAATCCAGGGGTCCTGCGCGATTCGTGCCGAGCCCTTGCAGCCATGTCGGCTAGCGATGCCAACCTGGCAGCTCGCACGATCAAAGAGGCAATACCACTGCTGGCGGCTGGTGAGGCGCAGGCAACTATAACAAGTGATGCAGAGTGCGCCGATGCTTACTGCGAGTTGCTGATGCAACTCTGTGGCACTGAGGGAAATGGAAGGCAGCTACTAGCCATAGATGGTGTCGAGGATTCACTGAACAAAATCGACACTCTATGTGACGCTGGTGGAGTAGAGGACGCAGTTGAGCTAAAGAAGAAGACGGCCATGATTCGCCAAGCGATGGCGGACGACCAACCCCACGAGAAGACGTGTAAGGATGTCTACGACCTTTTGAACAGCCGTGTAGCATCGTCACTCTCGATAGCGATCCCGGAGGTCGCAGTCTTACAGGAAGAGCTCGAGTTCGTTTTCAGCCGATTGCATATGTACAATGCCGAAAAACTTGATTGCCAAACAGCAATTGGTGCAGATCACCAGTACGGGAACATGGCTTTGGAGATTTTTGCCACATCCCCTGTTAACTACAAGGCACTTCAGCAACAAGAATTCGTCAAGATGGAACTTTCGGTTATGAAGAGTGTAAAGGATGAAGAAATTGTTCTATACTCTGTTAGGGCTCTAGCTTCAGGCTGCAAAAATCCGCCATGTGCTCAAGATGCAGCAAGGACAGTAGGCTGCCCGAACATCGTAACGGAAGCGGTCAGCAGGATTAATAAGAACTCAAGCATGACAAAAGAAAGGAAGGAGGAACACCTTTGCGCGAGGCTTCTTCTTGTGGAGCGCACTGCTGTCAACCGAAACCTCTACAACAAGACGAACGCTGTTTCTGAACTCATACGTTGTTGGGATGACTACGATGCGGGGATGTACACCACTGCACTGCTGAGACATGTATTCCGCGCAATGAGGCGTATAGTCTCAGATGCTCATGTCGATGAGCTGCTGAAGGCTAACGTGCTGCAGCGATTGATTGCGATAGTCAAGGTGAATATTCGTTCACACTAAAGCAACCCCTCAAGGTCACCGGGTAGACGTGCATGAGGAACTCCTGCATATTTCGTAAGGGATGTGGCATTATTTGTTCCCTCGCGTGGTTCTCTGTTGCGCTGCAGAATGTCAATTCAGATATAGCTCTGCTCCCCGACGTTCTTTTCCTGCTGGGCTCGCTTGCCGTGGTGCCTGAGATCAAGACCAAAATTGGGGAGTTGGACGGCGTAACGGCGTGCAACGAATTACTTCAACGATCACTCGCAAACCCACAGGCGACAGCAGTGGTCACCAACACATGTCTGGCTTTCGCGAACATCTGCATTGGGCACAAGAAGAACACCGAGCTATTCCACAAGCTTGGCGGTCCGGATCTGACCGTTCGTGTCTTGAACGAGCGCTGCAAAGAGTATGATGTGTGCAACGCTGCATCAGTGTTGCTGTGCAACTTGCTTTACAAGAATGAGCTAATGAAGCACCATCTGGGTACCAATGGAGCCCCGGCTGCTCTCGTGAAGGTGAGCTACAGCCGCTACACGTGGGAGACTCTTTGAATTGTCAGTATGGCGTTGGTGTAGCTAATTCTGCATTTGGAATAACGCGCGGGTGGTTGGACTGCTTGTATTCTCAGGGTCTCTCAAATTATGACGGTTCTACGGAGCGGTCTGCGATACGCTGTCTGGAGTCTCTATTCAAAGCAATTAGCAACCTGTCCTTATACACGCCCAATATCCAGCCATTCCTGGACGCCGGTGAGCAGCCTTATTATCCATCGCTATCTCGTGAATAAGATGCCTGGACTATTCTGGGGGGCTACAACTGATGGCATTTCAGTGTTGTCTCCATTGCATATTGCTCTGCAGGGATCGAGAATGCGTACAGCGCTTGGCTGAGCAATTTGACCGAGGACTTCCCGGATGCGCAGCTTGAAACGGGTTGCCGTACGCTGGCCAACCTTGTGATGGAGAATGATCCAAATAACATGAGAAAGTTTGGTGTTTGTTTGCTACCGTGCATGCAAGTACGTAGCCGCAAATCCCTGCTTGCGGGGTGCATAGGGCATTGCCGTTTGGAGTTGTCGGTCTTGCACTAATCAATGTAGCGAGGCTGCTCTATTAAGCGTTTGTCGGTTGCTGTCGTTACCTCGTGCAGGTTGCGGGTCAAGGACGCCAGGATACGAAGGCTCTGATGCTTCTTTTAGACATTGAAGCATCTCTCTGCCGATTGGAAGAAAATGCCGTGGCGTTCGCAGACAACGGGGGCATTGAAACGACAATACGCATTATCCACCAGTTCGACTACGACGTAGGATTATTGACTTTGGGTAGGCATTCTTTGGTCTTACAGCTCTTTGCTTAGCAGAAAGCAGTTGATGCTCAACTCGTTGGCCAACACTTTGGTGCAGGGTGAGCTGTCGTAATTGAGTGGACCTTTTGCTTGCAGGAATTCATTTGTTGAGCATCCAGTCTTCACTAATGCCTTCAGTTCAGCGCATGGTGGAGGCTGATGTATTCTCCATTCTCGTCGGGTGCGTTGAGGTTGACGCCGAGGGAAACGAGGTTACCGATCTTGTCGTAGGCGGCCTTCGTTGTACACGGCGCATCATCAGGTCTCAGGAGCTTGCATTCGAATATTGCAATGCAGGTAAGGCGATCGTCAGGTGGATTGTCATGGTGTTTTCCCCCTGCCATGTTTTTTGGGGTATCAGAGCCCTCATCTGGTGTTCTGTGTAATTTCGCTCTCCCACAGGTGGTATTGCAACAGTAGCGAATGTCATTTGCAAGTCGATCAATCAGCCCATGGTGATGCTCGAAGCCTGCCGAGTTCTTCTTTGCCTACTCGCCTTGACAACAAGACCCCAAGAGGAACGGGCAGCGGCGGTGCAGGCACTGCATGAAGCAGCAGCAAAGGCAGCTGAAGAGTCCGGTGCCGTGCCAGATGAGAATGGAGAAGTCCATGAGGCCGAACCTGACCCTGAGGAGCTTGCAAATGCTGCCTATGGTAGGTGATGCTGTATTTTTAGCAGGGTTTCACAGTACTGAAACTATCGTATTTTCTTCGGGTTTTCCACAACCCACAGATAAAGCCAACATGCGCATATGTTGGTGCATCCCAGGCGGTTGGTACCACATGGGTATGGATGAGGTCATGATCGGAGCTATTATACAGGCTGTTTGCGCATGCGCTGGTTCTGAAAGCCATGCGAAGCAGTTGCGCCTCCAGCGCGTGTCTCTTGGTAAGCATCGTGGCACGAGTTTCTCCACTTGCCGCGGAAAAGCAGTGTTATGGTGTGGCTAGCATGGTTTTCCCGCGTTTTGTTCACTGCTGTCATTTTTGTTCTCGTGATCCTCATTTGTTCACAGGTGTAGCTGCATACTTCGTATCGGAGCAGATGGGCCAAGACTCTTTTGTTGGAAGTGGAGGAGAACTCATGATCATGCAGGCCCTCAATACTTTCCCCGGAGAGATGTCTCTTGCACAGCTTTCATGCATCATTGTCAACTCAATTGCCATGACATCGGGAGACATGTATGAAAGCATCAAGACAAGGGAACTTGTGACGGCATTCAAAACAGTGAGCTTTGGGTGGCTAGCTTACCTTATGCTGTGCACCGAGAGGCGATGGCGCACGGGTAATTTTTTATGTTGCCGTCATTTTTATTGCGAAATGCTTCAGAGCGTATCAAAAATAGGAAACAAGAAGCCGGAAGAGAAGGCTGTTCGCGATGAGTGCCAGAAAACTGTGGAGGCGTTGGGTTCAAGTGAGTATCAGATATGAATCAGGGGACTCTTCTCCTCCCAAGCGGGTGTCAGTCTACAGTCAAATGGCAATGGAGTGTGTTGTGTTGCGTGCCTACTTGGCTCAGACCTCGACCCTATGGATGCTTTTGCATCAACGGTAACAGAATTGGACATGAAAATCACACAGTGGAGTGTGGACCCTTATCCAAATGGAGTACACGATTTGCCGGTTCACGTGAAAGAAGCACTGCGCAAGGGCGGTGAACTCAAGGTGTACATCGGAGACAAGGATGCAGAGAAGATCAGATGGCGTAGTTCACAAGATCTGAAGTGAGTACCCGATCATGCGAAACCAAGTTCTCCATCGGTGCGGCTCTGGTCTATCTACATTGCGAGTTTTTTTTTTGTTGCATATTTGCAGTTCTTTCGAGTGGAACGTTGGCAATGAAACTGACTGGAACAACCGTGTGCCTATTGTTCGGATCCGTAATGTTGCAAAGGGCCTGTCTCACCCTGCGCTTGTCAAGGCGAATAAGAAATCGAGAAGTGGTAAGCACTGTCCAGAGTTCAATCAATAGCGCATTTGGACTGCCTAAGTTGGTTCCAACCTGTCGATTGTTTAAATGAATGCGACTAGTTGCGCACCTGTACTTGGGTTATTGGAGAATTTTAGTATACTTTTTCTCTGTGACTTGTTCTTTTCTGTATACAGTTACGTCAAAAATTTGTCTGTGCATCTTCGGGCCACCCAACGAAGACAATCCAGCTGGCATTGAGCTACCACTTCGGGCCAAGTCACAGAAGGAGCGTGATCAGCTGGTCGAGATTCTTGTGCAGTGGCGTGATGCTGCTACATACAACTTCTAAGTGCCAACTTTATGTTTCATTTACACGATGACGAGCCTCTGGAAAAGTTTCTGGATGCGCAAGGCATGGCCCTCATGGTTTTGCCGTCGCGCAAGGGATATCTCTGTTAACTTAGCAACTCATAGTATTTAACTAAGGTGTGCCTGCACCCCGCTTTGTGGAAGGCACCTCAAACTGCTCGTCGAACGCAACGCAATTGTTAGTAATTGGATGAAACTACAGTTTTGAGACATGTTTAACACGCGACTGCGTATTAGGCTCCAAACAACCCTAGGGTAGAGGGCATTGATTTCGAGGAGTCGGGTTGCTAAATGAGGCACAAGCAACAACGATACAGGAATTTTTGCTTTCGGTACTAAGCAGCATGCAATAGTTAGTTGATTTTTGTATGAGTTTCGATGGGTAGTAATGTACCATTGCCCCATATGGGCCCGAACAGGGTGGAGGGCATGGCCCCCCATTCACACTAGCCAGTGCGGTACCTTCGTTAAGGGTGCAAGTTCGCATCACATGAAGGCATTGTACCTGCACAGCCTGAGCTGGATGGTAGCTGGAAACGGGAGACACTCTGTTGAATTGCTTACACAATATGCAGGAGTTCAAGCAGGAGGACGCATGCCTCAGCGGAACTGGCCATTCACGTTTTCGGGGAGTGCGTCTAAAATGTTGCTGACGCGTTCCTCTGTTAATTTATCGACAATGGATTCGCTTTTTGGTGGAGGAGCAGAATGAGATTCTCCTTGGACGAACTTAGCAGCACCGCGGGCCGTACTTGTCACGATAGATGTCAGGCCTTCCCCGACAGAGGTGGCAAAAGCAGAGAAAGAGTTGATAGGCGCTGTTTCAGGTTCCGCATTCTTTAGTTGAGTCGACTGTTGAAGTGATGAGCCGGACGGGGAATGAGAAGGCTTGGGGGCTTGGGAGGTGAAGAACCGGCTGAGGAAACCACCGAACATCCCACCCTCTTCTTCCTTCTGGCTAGAGGGTCCCGGGACAGGTGCATGAGTTGGCCTAGCAGTAACACCTTCTTTACCCTGCTGGTTTGTTGGGGTCTTTGACCTGACAACGAAGTCGTTTTCTTTAGCTTGCGGCTTCGCTGCAGTCGCTGAGGGTTCTACTCTAGTATCTTCCTCCACACGCTGGGGGTCCCCTTCTCGGTGAGCACTCGCGTTTGGCTCGGCGTCCGAGAACAAAAGTGCCAGCCAACTCGCTACATCATCGTACTCCGATCGGTTGAAGCGAATAATGTGTTTAGCTTGTGTTGCCGTTTGGAAGAGGAAGGCGTCAGCGTAGTACAACGCTTGCTTAACCTGTTCGGTGTTTACCCCTCTTGCATCGAATGCTGGGGAGAGGAGCTGGGAATTCCAAAACAAGGTGAGAGCTCTCACTGCATAGTCCACAAGCTGAGGTCCTAGGACTGAGTTAAGGTGAGGGTCATCGTTGAGATGTGCCTGCCCCTTTTTATAGGAAGCGACGAGAGAGCTAGCGCCCACCAATCTCAGCAGTTTGCTCTGAGTCGAGCTGGGAGCAACCATTGGATCGCTGTCAAGAAAGCCGAGGTGTCTGCACACTTCGAAAGGGAGTATGCCTAAGCGGCAGTCCCCATAAGCAAGTGCCGGTCCGGGGAGGGAGCCACCACTGACAATTCCTGGGCTTTTAGCGGTCGTCCTTGGTTCAAACGCGTGTTTCATTTCGTCGAGGAGAGCAGCTTTCGTCCTCAGGACAGCGATTGTATTGATAACACCCATAATCTTCTGCCGAGGAGCAAGCTCTGCAAACGGAGTGCAGTGTGACCATCTTAGTGCAGCTTCGCCTCCGAAAGCAGCGTGATTTTCGCCAATTGAACGCTTGGCGGCAGAGACGGCTGAAAAGGATGGATTGCTCTGCTCTGGCACCTTTGCTGAGGCCTCAAGGGATGACCCCTTTAGTGGTAACAATAAATGGAAGACAACGAGAGCTGAAAGTAGCAGCTTCATGTTCCGGGGGCCGAAGAAGCTATGAACGTGAAGACTGTTTCGCCGTAATGAGCCCGAGAAGTAAGGCGGTAACCTCAGTATTGACTGCAAGAACAACACCTCCAGTCCTAAATCGCTTGGAAATACCTGCTACTCGGAATATAGGGAAAGGGAGCAGATCCGCCTTAGTGGAGATGCTCCACTGCACTGGGACCTGTTGGGCGGGCTCCGCAGTTCATTGCTCACACATCAAACTTGATGAAAAAGTTTGCTTGTCCGAACGAATCGCACTCACACCCCCTGATATCCTTTTGTAGACTCAGTGTTGTCTTTAACAGGCCGTTGTTGTTTTCTGGTGGACGGTAGCGACGGGGCCCCACAGACGACGGCGTTGGGCCCTAAGCCTATCTCTGCTCCGCCAGTGTCCGTCTATCTGACTTCGCAGGCATCCGCACTCAACCGGCGCGAAAAAAAGTAAGACACTAACAACTGAATGAGTCATATGACTTATATTTAGGTATTCAAGAGACACTGTTTAACCAGGGGTGCCACTGGGGGGAACGAAAATTCCATTTGTGGGACAGAAGGTCACCTAAAGCTGGTCCACTACAGCAGAACGAGACAGACGTAAAGAAGTTGAGTGTTTCTTTCCGTATAAGTGCGGATTTTCACAAGACACAATAAAATAAAAGCCAAGAAAGCAAACAGGGGCAGTATCTAATCTTTAGCAGGGTACTTGGGCCATTGGGCTCCAATCATCCTTTGGCTGGGCTTCTCCGCATCATAATGCAGCGCGTCAGCAAACCGCTACTGCTAGTACCTTAGTACATAAATGCGCTTCATACCCCTCATATTCAACCGCAAATGTACAATTTTCGAACTACCCATCTCTTTTGCGATGTTCGTTTCTACTTTCTGCACCAGCGCAAATATAACTGCACCCGGTGGGCGCCTGCGAGATGCAGATTTACATTGCCAAGACGGACGGAATAACTAGCTCAAAAGCAGTTCAGAAGCCGAACAAAAAGCCGCAACTGGCCATCTGCAAAGGATGTGGTGTTGCTTTCTTCACGCCCCAAACACCATCACCTCTGTTCTCGATGGGCTTTCAAGTCCTATGACAAACCTTTTGTGTGCTTTTGCTGAATGGTGTTGGCAGCCACACACTGCCGCTACTGTTGCAAGCTTTGGATCCCTGATCTATCTGTCAAGCCTGCCATTTTTAACCCTGCTACCGGGGGAGCACGCAAGCGAGCAGCTGGCCCCGGAACAGTGTTGTACCATCAACGGTATCAACAAAGTTAGAACACATGGGAATCGTAGGCTGCCGATGCCTCCCTTGCTAGACCTTCTAAACGGAACACAACTCTACAAACCAGAAATATCGATGGTTGTGCGACTTCTTTGCCACAGAATAACAGGCGCGTATTTGCAGCCCCTTCTGTCACCATTGAGGTGCAGGACACAAGCAGTAGGAGCCCGTCACTAGCACGTACTTAAAGCTCTAAAAGTTTAAACGCTGCTTACATCAAAGCCACACGATTACCCGCGATCTTTGAGGCATCCCTTATACGCCGGCGTCCCCTTTTGGGAGGACCAGCCACGCCATCTAGCTGGAGCGGCGTCTCATTGCTAGCGAACTGAAAGTTTGCCTCCGCCGCACTCTCCTGATCACTGGTACATATTTTGTGGCCGTTTGCATCCGGAGAAGTGGAACTGAAGCTACAGTGAGACGCCATATCTGAGCCTGGCCCTGGAGCTTGTTGTGTATAAGGGCTGTAGCTACGCGTGCCTTTCGAATCTTCTTCATTTCTGTGAAACCGGCAACCGAAATTTTCTCGTCGTTCCAGAGAAAATTCAGGTGAATTGGTGCTGCCATTCCGACTGTCAGCGAACCTATCGACAGCACCTGCGTCCGGAAGAGCGGAGGAGGCAGAGGCGAATAGGTGTTCAATTGCCTCAACCCGCTCTTGGTATGGCTTGTTCAGGTAGGGAAGACAGTACCGATGATATCGCTGAAGTTCCTGAGATGCCAGCACGTTATGAGAACTCGACTATTCCACATTCATAATTGCAGACTGCGTTAAAAATCAATATTTCCCTGACAACGCAGCTGCGTAAAAACATAGAGCTGGATAACGCAATTGCTCAGGTGTACCGTACCTGCACACTCAGAGAAGCCTTGCAGTTCTGCAAAGCGGCTTCAATGTGCTGCGTAGAAACTGTTGCCCGTTTCAATTCACTGGAATTCTCTCGAGCTGCACCACAAGAAGGGGTGCACCCCCACATGCCCTTTAGATCATCACTGATATTTAACTTCTGCAGCCTATAGAACGGGTACGCCCTGACATGCATGCAAGGGGAGTGTGTCTGTAAGTGCATACTTGACGAGCCCGCAAGAGCCTCCTGAACGGCGTATAGCTGCGCCTGATTTACTGATGCCTGTGGCACACAAGATTGCACCAAAATACGAAACGCACTCCGATTCAGCGCTTGCGTACAGAAGACTCGTTATTTATCTTCAGGGATAATATGGTTTAACAAGTTGAACGAAGCGCTGTCAACGCGTAGCGGCTAGTACCTGAATGTCTGCCGGGCTAAACGTCAATGGAAGCATCGATCCCACGGTACTGATGTCAAAGGAAACGTTACAATTTAGGGTGCTGATCGCTGCTGTTAGCACTTCCATCCTTTCACTGTCCGTTACAGGGAGTCCGCAAAAACAGACCTAGAAAAAAACGCATGCAAACAAATTCACCAAAAGAGCATGTATAGAAAACACAGCGACGCAAAAGGGAAAACCCTCCACGTACTGCAGCACATGCAGCAGAACGCAGCACGCAGCACGACAGACAGCATAACCCCAACATCCACAATCGTCGTGTTCACAGCAGGTAGCTTAAGATGAACGGCCGGGGGCCACCTGCCTTTTCAAATCGCCCAGGGCGCAGCAGAGCAGAATCAACGAGATCAGGGCGAGACGTCGTGGCAATCACAAACACATCCTGAACACAGAATCCCCACAGAGATCTAGCTTTCCGCTGTGTTTTCATTTTATCATAGCCATATATTTCTCCATGTGTCTCTTCGGTAAAACTATTTGGTAAGCCCCTTGCCTATATGCCATTCAAACGACACTTCACAGCACCGCGACTGGCCCGAATTACTTTGCAAAATGGCGCAAAACAGTTTACCTGGCGCTCCTCAATTCCGTCCAAGTAGCATAAGAGCTGGTTCACCACTCTGTCAGTTACTCCTGTGGTGTCGCCTCCACGCCTGTTCGCTCACGCAACGAGCAGAGTCCAGTTTCGCTATGCTTGGTGGGAGAGTAGTCCGAACTTATTATTCAGAATCCCATGTAGAAGCGCCGGAAATGTGTATACCAAAACGCTCAAGGGGCAGAAATGTCGAAGGGACAAATTAACAAACGAACGCGCAAGCAAGCGAACACACACACACCAACGACAACAGGCGAATAGTAGAGCAAAAGGGCGAAAACAACAAAAAGGCAGACACAAGGTTACGAAATACGCCTACTGCCGAGCGAATCGCAAATGATCGGACAAGTGGCTCACTTTGTGGCCAAAGCTTCGATTTCATCAAAAAGAATTGCGCAAGGTTTCGCCGCCTGCGCTCTGTGGAACACATCTCTGACGGCAGCTTCGCTAGCACCGATGAACTTTCCAAGCAGTTCGGGGCCCTTAACGCTGAATGAGGACAGTAGCAGCAACGGATAGCTACCCGCATGCCCAGTGAAAATGGCAATGCTCAACCGCATATATCCAGGACGCCTGGTCTCCCGTGAGGCTAAGGTTCTGCAAACTGGCTCCTGCCTTCGCGATAATCTCACTGAATGCAGCGGATGCCAGCCTCCCCCACAGCGGCGAGAGCTAGATGAGTCTTTCCGCACCCAGGTGGGCCTATTAGCACCACGCCCTGGTATACTGAAGTGCCAGAGGCACTCAACAAAACAGGATACCGTCTCTGAAGCGTCAGCAAATCCTGCAGCTCCTCCTTCTCCTGTAGGGTCCAATCCAAAAATAAATACAACAATGTCATATGCATTATCGTACATAAAGACACCCGAAAGGGGCCCGCTCCACACTCACTTTGTGCAACCCGCCGACGTGGCAGTACCGCAGGCTCGGCCTGAAGAAAACACCGACGTCCCAGATCAACTAGATGCCTAAGAACCCCAAACACTTCATTGCGTGCGCACTACCCTGCGCTGGCAACGCCACTTAAAGACTTGGGATGCGCGCCGCATGGCATGGAGCAGCAGGGCTTGCACCGCTGCGAAACAGAAATCCCAGGGCAGCCTCACGCACTGAATGAACGATTGCCCCTGAGTAGCTCGCGGACGAAAGCCACCCAACGCTGAGCGGAAATGCTCGGCTAAAGTGACGGCTCCGGGTGACCGGCTTGGAGAGGTGCCCCCAGGATCACTTAATAGGCGCTCCCCCAGAGCACGCATCACCAGGGCCTGCGCCAAGCAAACAAAACTGAAAATAAGGGAAAACATGTACGCAGAAAGCATGAATGAGATATGTGGGGGGGAAAGATCTATAAAGAAGCAATGGACAAATTAAGAAACAGAAGACAGATAAAGACAACCGCGGGCCTCAGAATTACAGTTGACATCCACCATGGGGCGGCGGCTACACTGGAACCGTATGCGACGTCAGAACCTGGAGCTGAAACATTTCCTGGCGACGTAAACTTCAGCACAGGGGAGGATTTCAAAAGTGGATAGCAGACGTACATGGATGTCGGTCAGACTGTAGCCTTCGAGATGGTTTGCGATATCCCACATTTCTCCTTCCTCTGCCTCTAGTGGGGTGCCTAGACAATGGGAAACTGCTGGATCGCGCTGCACATCTGGGAAGAGGTGGTTAGCACAGCAACCGTAGCTCTTTATTACAGGCCTTGGAAGGGCTGCATGAAGCAGACTCCGTAACACTTCAAGTCGGGCGCCAACAGCAGCTGCATGTACAGACGCAGCGCAGCTCGAGGTAACGCGGTAAACATCGACAACGCAAAGGCACGGCTCCATGAGGTCTTCACATATTATATTATTGTACACTGAGATGTACATACGTGCAATAACAGAAAAATTACACGCGGCGCCTCTGCCAGTCAAACTGTCCCCTTTCCCCTCCCTATGGGAACTTCGGTCTACCGGCGTTTGGCGGGGGTCTCTAGGCTGCCCTGAGGGTGGGTATGGAGATTGGCTTGTCTGGCTTACATGTATCGCAGTGTATGCGTACGGGGGAGCATCCGAACAGCAGAGGCTGAGAGAGAAGGGGGTGTAGCGCCGAAGCATCAACTGCTGTGGCCAGAATTACAACGCGTCCCGGTGCAATCCCTTGTCCCCTTGATGAGCTGTAGCAAAGATCTTCTTTTACACCTACACAGAGGCTTGATCTGGCACTGCAAACTCCTCCTGAAACCCTTTCGATAAGGTCGTACAGATAAGCAGAAATTGTAGCCCCCCTGGCCTCCGCCACAGTAGGTCCACCGCCTCCCTCCTCCGCCGAAAAGCACAGGACGTCCTATGGATGCACACGAAAGTCCAGCAATCCCCTCCCGCTGGTACCTTGTTTTGCCCCTTGTGGCACTCGGTGGCACTTGGCCCCCTCATTGAACAACACAACACAGAGCCCCCCACAAACCAGTTCAAACGAACAAACTGTTCCAAACACAGCACATGCCATCGGAGCTGTTAGTTTGCTGGCCTTCTTTTGCCTCTACACCCACCGAAAATATATGAAACAACTCAACACCAGCTGCGTAAAGGCTATTTCTGAGGTACGTTTAAGGGCAAAACGTAGAGCATCTTTGTGGGCAGCACAGTGTACAGGCACCGACCAGATCGTCCAGTACAAGCACGGAGGGGCTGTTGGCTTCTGCGGCGTCGAAGGCCGCTGAGATGATTCGCCAAATTGAAGCTGAAGGAATAGTCTCCCGAGCTAGTAGTCGACAATGCAAAATCAAAGCTGCGGCGCACAGAGCCCCACCCCACACAATAATTCCTTGGGCAGGTGCAGCACATGCCGGCAACTGATAAGGTCAGGCGCCTTCCTCTCTCCTTGTGCCTTACTAAACACTCCGAGCTGTCGCGTCACGTCGATGCAGACGGATTTGCACAGAGCAGACCGCCCGCTGCCCCGAGGGCCGCAGACCTGCAAAGCGCATGAATATCGCGAAATAGCAACGAACAATACCCCTGCAGCTCACTGCCCTCATCATAGTAGGAGACAACCAATGTCAACTGACAGGAAACCCACGCCCCTATACATCGCACCCCGCCCTGTTGTGGTTCGCTTTCAAAGCAATGCATTTGCCGCTAGCCATGCATGGATCTTCCAACCCACGCAGGTGCATGCAGATGCTAGCAGTGGAACGTCATAAGCCTTCAAGACTTGCGTTAACCTTTCTCTCTTCTCCCTCTCCCACTTTGTGTGTTTCTGCACTTACAAGCAGCGTGCAGTAATCGAGACTGTTGAGGGCTCTGGTAAGGTGCCTCTCAAGTGCCGTGCCACCCCCCGCGGGGACAGCATCGAAATGTCCATGTGCTGCGTTCCTGCCGGAGCTGCGCACCGCCCCCAGCCGTCTGTACACTGCATAGGTGCATACAACCCGCAGCGCACCATAGTAGCTTACGGCATGCATCCATCTATGCAAGCATACATGCAACAGCTAAAATATGCATCCCTGAAGCTCCAAAACCACAGCACAAAGGCGGCTCGTAGACGGATACCCGCAGCAGATTCGCTTACCTGCTCGGGTCAGAGCTTCAGGGCAGTCCCCAAAAGCTCTTAATCGTGTGAAGTCGGGAAGAAAGGGCCCCTGAGAGCAGCTGAGAAGTAGCAGTGGAGCCAGGGGGCCTGAAGGAGACACCTGGTGGATGCCGGGCATGGCCTCCAGGATCTCCGCCACAGGCGCCTCCAAGCAGCCTTGCTGTAGCAGCTGCAGAAGCTGCGTGTCTGCCCCCGCGCTGCCATCGGATGCAGCGGCCAGTGCAGATGGGCCCCTCAGCCAGACAGATGGGGGGGCCAGCCACCAGAAGCGACGGGCTGTCTCGATGGCCTGCGGGTTGAGTACAAACTGCTGTTCCTTCACCCCATGGATTCGGGAGCTGTCGCTGTGCTCCTCGGTCTGAGGCCCTGTTACAGGGCTGTCTCTGCGTTGCTCCAAGCCACACAGCGTCTCTTTGGGAGACGGCAAGCTGCCCATCTTTAAGGGCAAGCAGATGTCTCCAGCTGTTGTCTTTTCCTCCCCAGGTCCAAGACACACGACGAGGGGACGGGTAACCTCCGCCGTAAAGCGTCCCTGCCGGATAAGGGATCTCAGCGACGAGTTTAAAAGCACACAAGCAAACTCCTCCTTTCTTGCAGGAGTGTCTAAGGCGGAGAAGGGCTGGCTCGTGTGCAGTGGTGCAACAGCCAGAGGTACAGCAGCGCTAAACAGAGGAAACAACTGCTTGGGGGCCTCGCCGGTATCCCCCGAGGTCGCGCGGGGGAGCTCTCCTGAGTCTGCTGCATTAAATGATATGAGAACATCCACAGACACCCGCACCAGTCCGCTATCGTCTGCCTTCATCTCTTGCCACCCTGGGGCCCCAGGCGGTCCCGCAGAGCCTGCACGGCTGCTGTCCCGGTTCAGCGATATGCAGTCGTGAAACACTGTGTCTCTAGTCTTCTTCCACGAAAGGGGCCCCCAAAGACTCTCGGCAGAAAGCTCCTCCACGTCGCTGCAGAACTTTGCTAAGTGGGCCCACTCGGGTGCCCTCAACACTCGTGGATTCGCTAGCAGTAGGTGGGGGCCCGCCAGAGGCAGGGGCTCCTCCAGTTGTGGGGATCGTTCGCTGTCTCCTGCATCCTGTAAGCTTTGGGGGTTACTGGCTAGTTTGATAGGCGCGCCTTCTTTACATCCATCTGCTGCTGAGTCTGCATTTAAAGGGACATACAAGTCCCCTAGGCCCTCCTCGAGCTCTTGCAACTCCTCCCCAAGCCACGAATCCACCAAGGGGCCCCCAACAACAGGGCCCGCTTTGCCGAACGAGGAGACACCTGAAGCGGAGCCCTGGGGAGGGGCCTCGCTGTCCTCTGTAGACAAGCTAGAGCCCTGGGTGGTACCAATTCCAGTGAGGAGACCAACAGCAGCCGACTCTATGCCCTGCTGCTGCTGCTGCTGTTGTGGTTGCACTTGCTGCTCGCGAGGTGCCTCTGCTGCATTGCACGTGAGCAGTTGATTCATGTCTTGAGCGTTCAGCATAATATCGACGCGGACAATTGCTCCATCCCACAGCACGTGGCCCAGAAGGGCGCTAAAGGCACAGACGGCGGCCTCTAGATTGTGCTGCCCCTCCCGATGCTCAGCGTTGCTTTGAAAATCGTCAGCAGCAGTAGCACCAGCAGTTCCTGTTGCAGATGCGGGGTCAATACTAGACGAAGTTTTCGTGTTCGAGAGGGAGAAGAATGCTTCGAGGATTCGGGCCGAGCCGTCTTTGGTCTGCAGCAGCGCAGCAAGGAGAGCAGCAGCGACAGTCTCCTTTGCAGCGCAGCCAGTCAGGCTTCTGTGTCTGTGGGGCCCTCCTCCTGGCTTTTCCATGTTTCCTGCTGCTTGCGGCTGCACCACAGCAGAGGAGACAATCGGTGTCAGCAAAAGGCATGCAGGGAGGGTCGGCAGCTGCAACACAGCCTCCACAGTGACACGACTGCTAAGGCACCAGCCGTAGAGACAGCGCACGAAGGAAGGCAGCCGTATGCATCCAAGGGGGACATCCGAAGCAGCAGCAGCAAGAAGCAGCGCAGCACCTCCGTTCCAGCTGCTGCTGCTGCAGTTCTTTAAAAACCCCTCCCTCGAAGGACCACCCCTGACACACACAACCACTAGACCCTCTGCTGCTGCGGCAAGCTCCTCTAGCCTAGCAACTGTCTCCTCTGTATCCCACGAGGGACATCGGCTTCTGATTGCTGGAAGCAGCCACTGCTGCTGCTGCTGCAGCGCCTCCAAGTGAGCAGGGTGCAGCAAGCACACATAAGGCCACGTTACCCTGTCCTTGGGTTTCTCCTGGGAGCGGCAACTGCAGAAGCAACTAACATCTACAGAGCGGGGTCCCCCGTGAGTCTCCCCAGTGTCCTCAGTCACCTCCTCGGGCATGGGCAGTACCCTCACAATGTCTCTCCTGCTGCTGCTCGTACTGTTGCCTTTATTGGGGTCCCACTTTTCTGTTTTCTCCGCAGCAGATGGAAGGGCCCTGCGGTAGGCAGGTTGTGCCAGGGGCCTGACATGCAGTTCTGTGTTCTGCCTGAGCAACAGAAAGGGGGGCCACATGGCGGGTCCCTTTTCTGCTGTACCTATGGGACCCCGTATGTCCCCTCTGCCTGGAGAGGAGATATCCCTCCCCCCAAGTTGGGGTGTACATACACGTAAAAAGAAGGGTTTAGGACTGTTGCGGAGCCACAAGGGAAAGGCCTGATTCGGCACACATAGGGCTATCTGCTGCAGTACCTCCTCCTCAAGAGTTGCTGCATGCAGCTGCACAGCATCCCAGTCCTCGCGGCTTAAAGGCGCCACCTCGACTGCAGTAGGAAAGCAGCTGTCCGCAAGCTGTTGCTGCTTCTGTTGTCGCTGTTGCTCTAACACGTTTACGTGTACTGCAGCAATAATGACTCGCTCTCCTTTCTTTAGGCCCAGCGAAGAGCACAGTGCAGTAGATATACCCACATAGACTGACGCGGCGAGACTTTCCTCATCCTCTGCTGCTGCTGTTGCTGCTGGTGTTGTTGCTGTTTTCGCTTCTTCTAATAAGGGAGCCTCGGCAGGGCCCAGGCCTGAGCCTAACCAGCCCACATACAGCTGGGGGGCCCCCACAGATGCCGCAATGTCTGCTAGAATCTTTGGCGGGGGCCCTATGGTGTCACAAAGGGCCTCTGTCTCTCGAGTTAAGAGTTTCTGCAGCTGCAGCACACGACAGAAGTGCTGCTGCGGCCGCCACAGAACAGTAGCAGAAGGGGGGCCCTTGAGCCGAACGAAGCAGCTGTGTACAGCAGGAAGGGGTACTATGATGCCTAGGTGGTGGCCGGATACGGGCACCTGTCGCTGCTGTTGTTGCTGCTGCATTTGCTGCTGCTGCTGCTGAAGCTTCTGTTGTTGCTTCTGCTGCTGGGGCCTGTGAAGCAGACGCATATTCGACGTGATCATGGTGCCTGAAGGGCCTCATATCGCTAGCCAAGCGCAACAGGAATGCAAGGAGAGTATTTAGGGCCCCCCGGGGGGCCCGAAAGGTGGAAGACAGAGAGCACAGGCGAAGGGAACGTGCAGATGAAGTGAATGAAACATTAATAACCTTCTTAAGAGGTGTTTTTCGGGCTCCGTATACAAATTGGATGCATGGATAAAACGCGGGGGCCCCGGGGCCCGATGCCAGGCTCAATGGGCCCCTCAAGAGAGCCCGATAGAAGAGTCTGCTTCCTCTATAGGTGGAAAAAATATCTAGACGTACATACACCTAAAATGAGGAACAACTACTGGCAACTGAAGACCGCTACTAGAGAGAAAGTAGAAGAAGGCTGTTGGCGAGTTTGCTCGTGGCTTACGTCTTGACTGTGGTTAATAAATTGTCTTCTCTTAAAACTCGGCAGGGAGGAGAAAAGAAGTATTTAAATATAAAAAGAACAACAAAAAAAGGCTGTTTCACAGAAGAAGATCTAAAAGAAGTGGCAGACAGATGGGAGGCGCCTCGCTCCCCCAAGCAACTCCTCTGTGATCATCTCCCCATAGGGCCCTGCCCCCAAAAGGAGACCTCGGGTGTCCGTACACAACATAAATGCATTGTTTACACATCATGTCTTATTCCTACCATAACTAGACACACACCAGTGGCAGGACCTGCTGAATAGCCAACCCTCTAGTTTGACACACCAGGAGACTGGTAGAGAGAGCAGCTAGCGTTTGTGTGTAGAAGGAAACACGAAGAGGCACTTATGGGGTTCCATTCCACACTTGCCTGTGTGGCAACAGCAGGTGCAGCAGCAGTAGTAGTGGTAGTAGTATGTTGAGGCGAAAGAACACCTCATCTCTACAGACTATGGGTGGCCATGCACCGTAATAAGACAGACCAGCAAAAGGAGACACAAATATAAACGCCTAACTATATATCAATGCTGCCTACTCTTACTCCTACACCTCCCCTAAAGAATCGTCTTTTGTCTCCCTCTGTTGGCCTCTAAAGAACCTTCCCCATATAAGAGGCATATGTCTGTAGACTAGTAAGTAAGCACTACTCTATGCCTCCTAGCTACTCATCTGCTTCCTTAAACTAGATTTGTAATACATTTATACATCTACGTATTTGTCTCCTTTTGCATCGCCGTGTCTCCTTTGCTACCCGACATGAGGAGATCTACTGCGGTGTCTTCTTTACTCTTCCTCCCTACAAGAATAACCCCACAGTCTCTCTCGATGCTTAACATAATCATCTTATATTTTGCTTAAGCGGAGAGAACAAATATAAATATGCAAATGACAGCGCATGCACATTTGCATGCGCTTGTTGCTGCTATTTCAACCCAGCCGTCAGCTGTTCCTACACCCCAAAAAGAGGCAATATATATATATATATATATATATATATATATATATATA